GGCTTGGAGCTCAGGGCCGCTCCCCGCGAGTTCCCGGGAGCCGGGCCGCGCCTCCCCGCAGCGCGGGTGGCTGGGGAGGGCTGGAGCAGCTCCGGCCCCTGTGCCCCCCGTGTGCCCCCCGTGTGCCCCCCGTGTGCCCCCCGTGTGCCAGCGCTCCGTGCACAGGGCCCGGGCAGGAGCTCCTTCGTCCCGCCAGTGCCGTTGTTCCATTTCCTTCCTCTGTGGTAGTATCTAAGGCTAGGTGTGAGTAGGTGTGGGGTGTTTATCCGCCACAGGTACAGGAGCTGTCGTATACCTCATTTCTAACTCGTAACTGAGTAACTTGCTTTAACTTTCTCCAAACCCCACAGAGTTGCCAAGTCTGCCCTCCCTCCTTTGATTAACACTGAACTCTGGCCTATAGCACCCCGTGACCTGCAACCTGGGGAGTGACCCCCTAACGCCTCTGAATGTCGCTGCTTAAAAGCTACTGCAAAGTGAGGGCAAATTGCAATCTTATCTTATTTCCTTTGGTTACAAGGGGTCCTCTTGATTAGTCTGTGAATATCCACCCCCTTCCCTCCACTCTCCATGGAAAAGGGCCACCCACGCTGCCTTTTCCCACCCCAGAACCACGCTGAGCTCCAGGGCCTGGAGGCGCTCTCAGCCCAGTGCTGCATACATGCTACTCACTTTTTAACATGACCAAAAAAAAAAAAAAAAAAAAAACAACAAAAAAAAAAAAAAAAAAAAAAAAAAAAAAAAACAACAAAAAAAGAAAAAAAAAAGAAAAAAAAATAGAAATCTCCAAATACTTAATTTTCTTCTTTATTATTTGACAATCCTGTATCCCTTCCCCACTCCCCAGCCTGGCCAGAAGCTGCATCCTTAACCCGGTCCATCTTTATTTGAATGTAGTTCCCCTACCCCCATGGGAAAGAGAAGCTTTGTCAGGTCACGGTGGCTGCTATAAGTCGGGAGGGGGCGGTTTCTTTGTTTTGTTTTGTTCTTTTAAAATTTCCAGCCAAAACCAAAGATTTCCTAATGATTGTATAAACTCAAAACAAACAAACAAACCAAAGACAAAGGGCGTCTTCAGCACCAAGCCCACCTGTGAGGCCGGCCTGGCCTGGGCTGGCTGGGCGAGGGTCGCTGCCGGCCTGGGGGCCAGCCCGGGGCTCCAGAACGCCCCGGGCAGCAACTCCCGGCTCCAGGGTGAAATCTGGGGCGCAGGCGCTGGGAAGGGAGGCCGGGGCTTCGCAGGTGGGTTGAGGAGCTGAAGACTTGGGTGCAGGATTGGCTGCTCTGCTGGGTGCTTTAACCCTCTGGGGGCTGGGTGATGTTGATTAATACACGCTGAGGTGCACTTCTGAGCTTCCCCCCCCTTCACTGCTTGGAAGAGGCTGTCCTGTTGTGAGAAATCCCTGAAAGAAGAAGAAGCAGCTTTTCATTTCTCCTCTAGTTCCTTTTTTCTAGATTTCTTTTATTTTTGCAGCACCACTGTGCAACTATGCATTGTATTTCTCAACCTTTTATGCTAGGTAGATGCCTGTGACTTTTTAACTTTTGGGGGGGGATTGCAAATGGAGGAACTTTTTACATGGATCTTTTTAATCTCAGTTGATTGGGGGGTGTTTGGTTCTAGGGTCAGACAAGCTCTATCCCAAAGCAAAATCCAAATGTTAATATTATTAGCCTGATGCAGATACCAAAGATAATTTCTTTCCTGCAGAACCTTAGACTTGTGTATTAAGTACGATTACCCAGCACTTGCATTAGTCTAACCTCAGTAATTCCAAAGCTTAGATGTATATTTTGGTATATTTCTGGGATATTAAAAAATTGTCGTTTAAATTCTTGTTTGTTTCAGTGTAATGCTCTTAAAGTCATAGCATGGAGATAACTGAACTTGTCCTATTCTTAGTAGTTTGAAATAATAGTATTTTTGTATGTTTTGGGTGTGTCTATGTATGTATTAACATAATGGTTTTCACTGCCTAGGTGTTCATAAATAATAATAAAAGAAAAACCAACTACAAAGGGTTTTTAAACTGTACATAATATTCCGTGAGGAATTTCCACCAGACCGCCAATTTGGATTGCATTTTCACTGATGGCCGCTCCCAACTGGGATTCTTTCTTTCTTTTTAAAGAGACAGCATGTTCTTTTGTTTTCCCCACTGAGCTGAGGTTCTTTCTCAGTGCAAAGGGGGTTTCACTGTTTTAAGGGGTGGGCCAAAGAGGAAGTGGCTTAAATTTTGTTTTAAAAAAGTATTTACCGTGTTAGTTTGAAAACTACCCCTTTGTCTGAAGAATTGGGAGTAGAAAACCAAGCCCTTTCTTCTAAATCTGATCATAACTTTCAAAGAAATTAGGATTTGTGAATGTCTGTAGTGTCTGGGCAGTCCCTTTTTGCTTTTTTTTCTAAATAAGACAAGTTTTTGGTCCTAATGGTTTCACTGCTCTGTGCAACTGCCTGCTTACACTGGCTGGGAGGTTGTTTTTTCTCTTGGCCTTCCTCATACACTGCATTTATACACTTGAGGTCAGCAGAACACTTGAAATCAAGGGCCATTATGGGAGTACCCTACCCAAACACAACCCAAGCTTTTCTTGAGACTGAAATGTGAGAGTCCCACACATTTCAAAACCTTGCTGATCACACTAAGGGTGAGGAGGAAGGCGAAATGCTGTCTCTTTAAAGATGTCCTTTATTATTATATTATTATTATTATTATTATTTTCCCAGTGGTTGCCTACAGATAGCTGTAGGCATTGAGAGATTGTGTAGATTACAGTAAATCAGAATGAAAAGGTAGATTTTGTGTAGATGCATTTGTCTGCTGTAATTTTTTATATATATTAAACTTACTGTAATTGTACAGTTCATTTCTGTTGTAAACATCATTAAACCATTTTCCAAGTGTTTTAACATGTATGCACTTGTTTGTAGTTTTTAAATGTGTCCCCTTGCATCAAAATGGGCAGAAGATTGATCTGTGATGCCTTTTGTCTTGTCATACTGGAGGAGAGCCCAGGTTTTATGCACTCTGCTTGAAGCTTTTGTTCTAATTCTGTATTTATCAGCTCCTCTCCTAAAAGCAGAAACAGCTTCAGTCGCTTCCTGAAGGCAAAGAGGAGACTCAGCTCAACCCCACAGTGAGTGGCCCCAAAACCAGGATTGGATGCTTTTTGAAGTCAAGGTATCCATTGATATATAAAGAGCATAAAGGTGATTCCACACCCCCCCCCCCCCCAAAGAATTTAATTTGTATTGTTTGGCAGTTGGTATTTCACACTGCCAAAGCTTGTGACTTCTACATCTTGCAGATATAGTTATGGTGATTTAAAAAGAGAAAGCTGTTTTCAGCACTCTTTGTTCTTGCATCTAGTGCTTTGCAGCATAACTTTACTGTAATTTTCAGCTCAGTCTCAGTTAACTGAGATAACTGTCTCAGTTATCACCCAATTCTCTCAATTTTTCTTGTCACTGCCGAACAGTAACGGATCTAAGAATATTTTTTTTGCAAGAAGCATTCATTACCATGTCTCAGTTTACTTTTTTTTGCTTTAATTTATTGCAAATATTCTTTAAAAGCTACAAGCACCTACTGCACGTACAGTTTTACTGCTTAAAGAAGTAAAACTGCCTTGGAACTTGCATAGCACCCATTTCAGCAAGTTTTTCTGCTGAAAACCCACCCAGTCCCTGGAAAGAAGACAAAAGCTCATTTGGCCAGTACCCAGAGCATCAGCTCTTAATTCCACAGCCTTGTTTTAGCTCTGCTTCCTCTGTGATGACTGGTGAGATGGCTTGGTCAGCTCCTGAGTGGAGGTGAAACACCCCTGGTGTTGCTGGGCTGAATTTGTCCTTGCTGAATTCCTCCAGGCTTCCCTGTGCAGCTTGCGAGGCACGGGCAAAACTGAGGCTGCAGCAGCAGGAGGTGAGTGTCCCTTTGATACCTGGGTTTGGGGTATTTTCCCAACAGCCCATCCCAACTTCTGGGATGTGTGGAGGAGCTCCTGCTGGAATCCTGTCCTCCTCAGCTTCCCTGGGAGATGGTGCTGCTGGGTCCAGGCTGGTTCAGATGGGCTGAATGCCTCAGGTAAGGAGCTCGTGCCATTCCCACTGCTGCTCCCTGTACACACACATGGGACTGTGGCACTGTTCTATTACTTCATCAAAAACACATGACATTGAGCTGGTACCCCCTTGGAATGATACCTGCACCTTTTAGAGGCAGCCTCATGAGAGAGTGGTTTGGAAACTGCATTTATGTTGACTTTTGTACAGTTTGTTGTCTGGAAGTGATAATAGGGGAACCCATCTCCTTGTTTTCTTTGTTTTTCTGCCTTCAGAGAAGTCTCTCACTCGGCTTACCTGGCTCATATTTACAGATGAGTGGCAGTGCCATTGCTTGATCTTTTTTTGGATATTGGTGCTCATTTTCTTCCACTGGAAAGTTGGCATTCAGCCTCTCTGCTTCACTACTGTAACATCATGTCACTCTTTATAATTAAAAAAAAATATGTTTCCCTCCACTGAAGCAGTTTTTTAAAGGCAAATTTAAAGCAAAAAGGGTGAAATAGTCTTATATAAATACTGCAAGAAGTAAATACAACCCTATCTTTGCAAATTGTTTAAAAGCAATAAAGCCGTAATTCCATGTCTTAATATTCTGGAAGACAAGGAAGAGCTATGGAAATAGCTGTGTTTGTTAGAAGGTGTGGTCTAGTCCCCACAACACAAACCTGACCAAAAAAAATAAATCAGCCTAATACCCACTATAATTGGAAACAACTTTACAGATATGTACAGTCTAATAGCAGAAGCAGTTACATGATTCAGGAGGAGAGAGAGAAGGAAAAGGCCAGGTCCAGACTCTGTGCACCAACCCAAGGAGGTTCTTGCACACAGAAAACACACAGTGCTTGTGTTGGATGAAAAAGGCTTTCCCCCCTCTCCTCCCCAAAGCAGGTGGGCATCTCTCACTCTTGCCCATCCCCTCTGAGGCTCCCACTTAGCGGGGGGGCAAAGGCTGCATTTGGAGAGCATCGTAAGTGTCCTTGGTTGCTGCACTGAGCCCCTGAAAAAGAAAACCAGAGAAACAGGTGAGGGAGAGTGTGAGTGCTTACTTCTTCCTGGCTGACAGGCAGCAGCAGGATGGCAGGGGCTCAGTCAGGAGGATAAGTCTGACTTTTTTTTTCCCCCTACAGAGGTTTTTACTCCTGAATGATTCTTTAGTCTTTGTGTGGTGCAAATAGCTATTACTTACCTGAAGGCAAGGTACATCTTGAATAATGGTTATGAAAATATGACTACAGCAAATCATCCTAACTGGTTCTGCAGAGCTTTGGAGTACATTTTATTTGTGTATTATTAAGAGCTAACTGATGCTAGAATGAGCATCGATAATTAAATGAACAGACATGAAATAATGAACTTTGTTCTCTGGACTTCTCCTCTTCTATTTGGAAGGGAAAGCAGGTGTAGCTCTGGGTGAGTAAGTTGGCAGTGGGACCTGAGGTGGTTTCGAATCCTGGGAGACATCCCCTGACAGCTGTTGCAGTGGTGCCCAGTCCTTTCCCTGACAGCCTGCTCAGGTAAGGCAGCTGTGCCCTGTGTTGTGCATCCCAGAGCAGGGGTAGCTGGGGCTTCCAAGAGTTAGGAATTAGTGAGATACCTGATCCCTGCTTGGGAAACTTCCAGCTGCCTTTCACTTCTCTGTGCCTCCCCCACAGTGCCATTGGATATCCAGCCACTCAGGAGGACAGGTGAGGGGAGCAGCTGTGGGAGGTGGCACCTACCTGGTAGAGACCTTCATTGCCTTTGCCTCGCCGCCTCTGCTGCTTTGGGAAAATAAAACAAGCATAGACTGATTAATGGGTGTTTTCCTGATTATGCAAAAAGAAAGAAGCCCCTGAGTTCCCCCATGCTGAGGGTGTACAGGATGTACCAGCTGTGCATGGCCTGGACTCTGCTCTGCACAGGAAAGTACCTGGTAAGTCTGGACCAACCCAGACATGCTGCAAGGGCTGTTAAGGAGAAAATAGAGAGGATAGGAAATAAAAGCAAATTGGTTTCGTTTGCTGACATATTTTCCTGTCATACGGTTAGAATGTTGCTATTTCTTTGATTCACTGTATATATAGAGATTTGGCAGCATTTCTATAGACACTGATTATTTACTATTAGATTGCATCACAAATGTGTCAAGGAGTAGTGCTTGTTACAGTTAAAATTGCAGCAAGCTATTAAATGATCATATATTTTGAATGGCACAAGGGCTTTGGTGTTCTTGTCCCTCCAGAAATGGAAACATTCAAAAAACATGGTGCAACTTTATAGCCCCATAGCTCATAGACAGAGCTTGACTCTGGCAGAGGAGCATTAGAATAAAAAGGGGAAGAGATAAAATGTTGGTGTTGCTTCAGCATTTCTGAACACTAAACTTTGTTTTGAAATGCCCCTTTTTTCATGTGTCAGAAGAAAATGAAAGGTATATATATATATATATATATATATGAATGAATGACACTTTGACATAAAATAGAACCTGTGTAGGTCAGAGCAATTTTTCATTTTGCCATAAACAAGCATCCCCAGATGGTTTGTTTTTGACACAAGCCCTCTTCCCCCAGCAGTTTGTGCACTGAGCTAAAAACTCTCCTTCTGCTGTAGCTGGAGATGTGACTGATGTGTGCCTTCTTAAACATTTGAGAGCAGAGCTGTGGGAAGGAGGACGTTCCCCCTATTCCTTGTCTGAAGTCAGGCACAAGGAGGGGCTGTCACTTGCTCTCCTGATCCTGGAACACCAGCCAGCCTCAGCAGCCCGTGGAGGAGAAACCATAAACCTGCAGCTCCAAACTGCTCTGGAGAAACATGCCCCAAAATCCTCCAGCACTGCTGGACCATTGCAGCACTGGACACCAGATCTTCCTCCAGCTGTTCCTCACTCATCTCACACCCTCAGTCCCTCCAGCCAGGGCAGCCTTCAGGGGTTTTCTGGCCAAATGCTGAAATGTTTTCTGTTGCCATGTTTTCACCAGGAAGGAAAGTAAGACTCACCTCTCCCTTCATTCCAATCTCACTGTATGCCTCACCCATCTTGTCCTTCTGCAGTGCCTGCAGGCAGAGAGGGAAAAAGAGTCAGTGTGACAGTAGAAAAGCCAAGGCAGCCCCTGGGTAGCCACATTTAAAACCAACTGAACTCGGAGTCTCATTCAATAGCAGCAAAGGTCTTGGAAACAAGCTCATTTCTCTAACACCAAAGACCCAAGTTAAGACATGAGAATCAACATTCCTGTATCTGTGCTTTGGTGCACAGACCACCACATTTAGCCAGAGTCAAATCAATTCCATCAAGAGGTTCCTAAACAGCCCCTCTTAGATGCATTGGTATTTGGCCTTTGCCAGAGAGCAGGCACAGGACTGGAGTCCCTGCACAGGAAATACTGCAGCAGCAATCACATGGGATGAAGGGTGGTTAGTCACTAGCATTAGGCATTAGCAGGTATCTTGATCCAAGTTCTTTTCCACATCTCCCCAGTGTTTTTCTCCTGTCCCTTAGAAGTGAGCAGAAATTTTCTAGCAAAAACAGAGAGTCTGGGGGGAAGAGTTGGGTGGAAGGGAAGTCTGGAAAAGCAGCTGTTGAGTTTTGAACCAGAGTTGAAATTGAGTGGCCTATGAAAGAATCTCCTGTTCCCAGCCATCCCTCCCTCCTTCCTCCCTCCAGAGTGCTCTACTCACAGTGTAGACAGTGTCCTGAGGGTTCTTTCTCCTCTGCTGTAAAACAGAAGAAAAAAGTTGGTCATACATTGCATTACCAGTATCCTCCACCACCTTTTATGTGCTTATGCATTTGCTCCATGGCACAGCTGCTGCTCTACGAACTTCCCCTGCCCATTCCAGTCCATCCTGCCTCCACCCATAGGGCTCTGTTCAAACAACTTGTTCTGGGAAAAATTTTTTTCACTTCAGCAATTGGTAGAACTTAGTTCTTCTCTGCTCACCCCCCTACAGCTGTCACCTGCTGATGCAGGAGGTTTTCCCTCCCTTTTCCTTTGAAAGTGATGGGCTCTGCAGCAGAAGGGGTTGTTTTGGCTGCTGCTCTGCTTTGTGGGCGCTTGTTTGATGGCATCAGAGGCAGCGAGCTCTGTGAAACACCCACTGCTGCCGGGCCTCCTCCGCATCCGCCCCGGGCCCGGGTGTCACTTCCCAGCCCGGGTGGCTGCGAGCTCCCAGCCGAGCAGGGGGGCAGAGATCAAGGGGAGGGGGAGCTCGGCTGCTGCCCCCCGCGCCGCCCGGGTTACGACACAGATCGCGTCGTTCCCTCCCCAGGAAGGCGCTGGGGTGGCTGCCTGTGTGAGCAGTGCTGTGACACGGCGTGGGAGGCACCAGATCAAAGGCAGAGGTGCATATGTGCGTGGAGGTTACCTGGTGTCTCCCGCCCAGCTCGGGGTCTGCTCCTCGCTTTCCTCCCAGAACATCGTAATCGTCTCTGTGCGTGCGGGAGAGTTTCTGAAACGGGAGAGCGAAAGCACTGGATGGACACCGTGATAATGAGATCATAACAGATCTTAACCAGAAAAGAAAGGGAACCCAGCTCAGCTCACAAGGACTATCGCTGAACTAGAAATTCTTTTTACTCCCTAATGCAACCGTCAACAACATCTACATTTTAGCCATGGAAATGGCACAAAACTGCTAGCTGTTGCATTAAGAACCTTTCCTAAGTGGAAATGAGTTGAATACTAAAGAGCATTGATGGGGAGGGTCTCTTGACTTTGATGCTTTCTCTCCCACTAAAGAGCGAAGATCCACGAACTTCATTTTTCTTGCAGAGCTGGTCATCTAAATCTGCATCAAGGAGCTACAGAAATTTTATGCCCAACACAATTCTTAGCTAGGAAAAGTTACCTTGGACAAGGGCAAAAGAGAGACTTCAGGTCAAAATAACACAGCTGACAGAGTGCTACTTGAAAGGTGATGGGCTACACTTAAACTGAAAAGAAATTGCATTAGTGTTCAGACATTACGGAGTTAAACAGAATTCATCACAGGATGTGGCTATGGTCAAAAGTGTGAGAAAAAAAATTAAAAGACAGCTAGACACAGCAAAAATAGCTAGAGTTTAATGCTGCCATGAGTGAGCAATTTAGTGAGGAGACTCAGGCAGGATCTTGCCTCTGTCCTCTTTCACTGCCTAAAGATGCTGCCCATGGTCAGGGCACATCTCTGGTATGATTTGGTACAACAGCGCTTGCTGTGGGGCAATGGGAAGGCTTGGGAATGGAGGCACAGGGGCTGTGGTGGCTCAGGGCTCACACACTTGAGAGTGGAAGAGCTGCAGGTGCAAAGTCAGCACCACAGCATTCCTTGGCATTTGCCCAGCCCACATCAAGTGGCAGCAGCAACAGGGGCAGTGCCTGCACACACACCCAGAACTCTCACAGGCCTATTTGTTCTATGGGACAGCACAAAAAACAGTCTGGGCTCCTGCCAACCGAGAGTTCAGTGGGCCAAATCAGGAACCAACAGCCCAAAGAGCTCTCCAGAATCTGGCCAGAGGGGTGACACCAGAAGCTGTCCCTACAAGGTTTTACCTTTCCTCCTTACAGCTGCCATGCTGCACACATGTACAACCTACTCATTAGTTGGCTCATCCAAAGCTTTTCTGACCAGCAGGCAATTCATTGTCTGAGTGCCCCAAAAGGTCTGTCTGGATGGTAGATTAGAAAACAAAGACCAGCAGTTACTCACATTGTACACATCATCCTGGCCTGGTCGCAGCTGTGGTTCAGGGGGCTGGCTGAGCTGGAAGAGAGACCATTCCATCAGCAGAGACACAGTGGTTCCCCTCAGTCCTTTCATTCCCTCTCCCCTACAGTTACTCCTATCAGAAACAGGGCAAGCCACAAGCAGCTCCCTGTGTGGCTACAGGCAATGCAAACCCCTGCTGCAGCAGCACTTTTATCCACACAGCAGCCTGCCCTCAGCAGCCAAGCCATTTTATTTCACATAACACCAGCTCACAAACGTCTGAGTTTGTTCCCTACATGCTTGCCCTCCTCAGATTTTGTCTCTCCATCCTCTTCCTGTCATAATCTTGTGCCTCCCTGGGACATCGGTTCTCCAGCTGCCTGCAAAGTTGTTTGGCTTCCTGCAGGGAATCCCTGCACCCCTCAGGAGCAGCACTTGGCTTGCAGGGTTCTGGTGCCACCCCAATAAGTTGATGTGAGTGGCAGCTAACAAAGAGGTAAAGGATTATCCCTTCTGTAGCTGCTCTATGGCTCAGCTGCTCACAATACTCATGAGAAATCAATTGCTAAGCCAAAATTTTGAGTAAGAAGACAGTTTTGGGTCAATAAGAGCAGCTACTTCGTGTTGTAGTGTTTAAAGAAAAACCCTGCCAAACTACATTCTGTATTGATTTACTCTTTTTGAGTTATTACCACATTGAATTCTTTATTAAAAGTAACCTTATAGCTCAGTCTATATTTAGGCATAGAATCATGTTTGCAGCAATTACACAAGTCCTTTCCTGTGATTGTTTGAGTTGTTTGCATCATCACACTCATAGTATCAAAGATGTCTGGATTGTTGGGACATTTTAATAAATCTTTAACAAGCTTGCCATTTTCCCTGAATTTTCTGTATCCCCTCCTCTCTTTCCAATGACAAAGCAGGAGAAAAAATCCCACTTTACTCTTGATCAGTCACTTCCCATCTACAAAATCCAGAATCTCTGATGTATCCATAAGTGCAACATCAAAATTCTCTCATATACTCTTCCCCCCTCCATTCATTAACTTTTGGAAAGAACTGTTTAAGGTTGCTCAAGTGGATGCTAGAGAGGTGGGGGAAAAAAGAAAAAAAAGGAGAAATAAAGCAAAAGAATAGAAAGGTTGCATTCTAAGAGATGATTCTCCTCCACTCCCACTTTCCAGCCCAGCTCAACTACTTTACACCACCAAATCCAAATGCATCTGTGTTGGGTTAGACTGACCTTTGCCTTCACAAAAAGGGCTGTCATGACCACTGCATAAATGAAGAGGAATCCATCCAGCATGTAGCAGAGCCTGGGATCTGTGAGGCCAAGAACTGATGCAGCATCTGCACAAAAATACCAGATACATCAGCAAACAAAGTCATTTATGTCACTGGATGCTTGGCAGCATAAATGTGGCAGTGCTGCATAGCACTCCATGGAAAAATTATAGCCAGTGTGAGGGCAACACTGCTGCTTTGCAAAGGAGATGGAATTCTGAATATAAGAATTATAGGTCTGGTCAAAAAGGACCAGCCTTCTCTCTAAACAGGTTCAGTTAAACCAGACTGTGCAGGACCTCAGCTAGCTGAGAGTATCTCTGGGGACAGAGAAGTTTGCAAGCTCCCCCAACCAAAACAGGATGTTTATTTTCTGGGCAAACCCAGCAGCTTCTCCTGCAGGGATTCATGACTGGGCCTGGTTAAGGCTTCCTTCATCAAGTGTGTGTGAGAAAATACATTGTTTGGACAAAATTTTAGGGTAGGGCTTCTCAATTCTGCATTAAATGTAAAAGATTGACACTATCACATTCAATGCTCCAAGAGTAACTTGAACCCATTGCCCCTCATGTTTTCAATGTGACTCCTAAAAAGGGAGTCTCCATCTTTTCAGCCACCCTTTAAATATTTATACACTGACCACATCCAGCAGGACACCTTAATACTGTTGTGTTTCAGCAGATAAACCTGATAAAACTGCCCCTGTATCAGTTAATAAGGATGTAGAAAATTCACAAAGTATAGCTAAAGAAATCAAAGGTTAAGCAACTGTAGATCCAATATGCATCTCCAGGTCCATCCCCCAAGGAAAAGCTGTATTGCGCAGTTATATAAAAATCCAAACAAACAAACACCTTAAAATTAATCTGAGTTGTGCTTTGTGCAGATTTGGAGGGACTTCAAAAGAGGAAGACAAAAATTGCCAATAACCTGAAAAGCCCTTTGATGAAGATAAACAATCACTGTTCCCTCTGACAGCCTCACACACCCAGAAAAAATACCACAGAGTAGATTTGTTTGTTTGTCTGAACTAGGAGTTTACATTCATTTTTTTCCTAAATCATGCATTTAGAAACAAATCCATGGAAATAAATTGAGATCCTATATGGTTTTTCTTCTTCCCCCTCTTTTTCTGTCATTTAAAAAATATGGTTCAAACACTTTATGAAAAATATCCTTCACCACATTTCCTCAGGACTATAAAATTTCATATATATGGGGTAAACAGAGATAGAGAGATTACATTATTTGCCCAACATTGTATATAAAACCAACAAACAAGCTGAAATTACCTTCCCAGAGATTTTCTTCTAAACAGTTCACAGGACAATATTTTACACTAGCCTGGAGGCATCTGAGATGCTGCTGAAGGCAGCATTTTTGTGTACTCTTTGGGTGTCCTGGCCCTGAATCCCCTCTCCTTGTACCAAAGCCAGGCACATTCACAAAATCATCTCAAATCCAATATTTCTCCAGCACTAATAAAATCCCCAGACCAGGAGGAGACAAAGCAGGAGACAGAGTACTGTGGAGGAGATGTCAAGAGTGTAGAGGATTTAGCTGTGGCAAGTGCCAGCTGTTGTCAACCTTGGCTGACTCTGCAGAGCCAACCAAGTGCCTGCATGGTGCCTGTGTGGGGCAGCCCGGCCTCCAGCATCCCAGGCAGTGGATTAAAGCTGTTCAGTGAGGGAAGGCCTGCTGCTCTGGCTTGGACTGTTCCTGGAAAAACATGTTTTGAGACTATGACAAAGTCCAATGTTTAGAAAAAAAACCAATAAAATGAATAGAGTTATTAGGGTGGGAAAAGACCTCAGATATCATCAAGTTCAACCTTCAGCCAAATACCACCATGCCCACTGAACCACACTGTGAATTGTCACATCTAGTAATTCTTTAAACACTTCCAGGGATGGTGACTCCACCATTTCCCTGGGGAGCCTGTCTCAATGCTTAACAACCCTTTCAGTGCAGAAAAATTTCCTCATATCCAACCTGGTGCAGCTTGAAGCTCCCTCCCCTTGTCCTATCAGTTACTTTGTGTTATTTCCTTCCTTAATACGTTTGACTTCTGTATTCTTAAACAATACAAAACAAAATGTACAAAGCACTTTCTAAATAATAACCTTTGAAACAGGGTTCTGGATTAGAAAACGAGAGAGAGAAAAAAGGTACAAAGCCTATTGAAAGAAAGGTCAAAGAGATAGGAAGCACAATGAACAAGTGGCAGTTAAAACAGTTACCATCCATTCAGGTGAACAGGACCAGTTTAGGTTTTTAAATTGCCAGAGGAGGGGTTCTTGCCTCTTCAAAACAGTCCAGTCCCTTAGGGCACCACCAAATTGCACTTTCTGTCCCTCATCAGCCATGGTCTGGGGGCTGAGGCCAAGGTCACAGCAGATGAGCTGATGATGGGAGCTGGGCAAAGCAAAATGCACCAGGCCTGAGGGAGCAGTCACACTCAGCTGCCTCACACAGAGCAAAGCACAAATAGCAAATATTTCACTGATTATTCCCACTCTGTTAACCTCACAGGTTACCCAGTGCCTACTGGGAGTTGCACAGCATCTTTCCAATAGCCACATACCAGAACTGAGAGGAGACAGTCCCTGAGTAGAGCACTGCCCTACTTCAGGTTTTCAGCCCTCCTCAATCCCAGTTGCCTACACCTGGAGCTCTGTCTGCAGCTGTGCTTCCTCCCCTGAGAAGTTTCTTCCCAGCACCTCCTCCTTCCAAAGCCAGGACTTTTGTTCCCCCCTTTACTCTGCTCCCACCAAGCAATGCAGCCCTGCTCTCCTCTGTGCCTGGCCAGTCTCTCCTGCTGCTGCAGGTCCTGGCACTCCCACATCTGGACACGAGGCGGGCATCTCCCTCATCCTGCTCCACACTCACACCGCCAGAGCAGCTCTGCCAGCACCTCTGCAACAACTCCCTGTGGCCTTTTACATTCTGAAGCACAGACGAAGAAACAACAACAACAACAACAACAACAAAAAAAAAAAAAAAAAAAAAAAAAAAAAAAAAAAAAAAAAAAAAAAAAAGGCAATTCAGAACTGCTGCGGACAAGCAAGTGAGAAAAAGCCAGTGGTGAGAGGCCAAGAGCAGCCCCAGGAGCCAAGGCAGAGGAAGCCTGGGGCCGGCGAGGGAGGCTGAGCTGCGGGCGCCCGCCTCGAGAGCCCTGCGTGGTTTCACAGAGTTTCAAGCCCCTGGCTCAGGCCCAGCACCAGCACTCCTGCACAGGGCAGCAAGCTCAGCTTCAGCCACCTGCCCACACTGCCTGCTGCTCCAGTCCTGGGGAGACACAGGGAGTCCCAAAACCCACATCCAGACACAGTTGCCCTGCTCCAAAGCATGACATGAGGGAGGGATGCTGCACCCCAAAGCTGGCTGGGGTCCTATCTACAGGGCTGGCCCAATGCAGCCAGTACCAATGGGGAGCAGCTGAACTGAATCACTGGAATATGGCCTGGACCCTTGAAACGTGCCAGAACATTTATTTTAAATAGGATTTTCCTCCTCCGATGTTTTAGTATGCATCTGGATTGGGTTAGACCATGATTCCTGATAATAATTTGAGAAATACAGACCGTAAAAGCTGAATTACTTGTAAATCCAAATCACATCTGTCTACCATAAATTTTTTTCTCTCCCATGAGCCTTATTAAGTGATTAATTTAAGGGTTTTACTTTTAGGGGTTAACAAAATACAGTAACACAGCTGTGAATGAAGTTTTTTATCTTCCTGGAAATCGAGTTTCTCAGTGAAGCCCATGAAAACGAATGCCAGCACAAGAGATTTATTGATACAACTGTAGTTACATACAAAGGCAGATCCTGCAGGGCCTTCTCTCTACAGCCCAGGGCTGCCACAGCTGCTTGCTGGGCAGTTTTTCTCACCCACCACCATCTTCCACCAGCAGTGATCCCTGTTGCTCTGGATGATGCTGGGTGTGATGGGTCTTGCCTCACTGCTGCTGTCTGAGACCAAAATTCTAACCCCAAGAGAGCTCCCTGGGCTTAGGGCAGAATGATGAGAGAGATGAGTACCCTGCATAGTGCTTCACTGCAAGTGTACCCAGGCCTGCAGCTGAAAGGACAGCCCAGATGAAATGCCTACAAGTTAGCCAACTAAAATTATTACAGATTGTCCTGTTCATAAAGAATATATCTGTCATGGGGTTTGTTTATATTTATATATTTCTATGGGTTTTACTCATAGATAGAAACAACAAACAAACCTGTGACCATCCAGGGCTGAAGAAGCCGATGCCAATTTTCCTTAACTTGGCAGAAGGTAGAATCTCAGTTTGTCATCAATATTCCATCACATATTTGTGAAACACAGCATGGCCCAAAGCAAAGCTCATGCCCTTGAAGTTCATCATTAGAGTTCGTTGTTGTTGGAGGAAACTGCTGATATGATCAGGATTCAGGTTACAAGACCAAATGTTGAGCAGCCCAAATAGTTACATTTAGAAAGGAAAGTATTTTAGACCATTAACTTCCAATTTTTTACACCAATGAATGTCAGCCCCATGGAAAGTCAAAGTAAAGTATTTTAGGATTCTTGTGAGCCCTTTGCACTCCTTTTAGGATCTCTTTCAGGGAGGCACTAACACAAAGTTAAAAAAATTTCAAGTTTCCCTCTGATTAATTTGGAAGAAATAGAGTCAAAAGAAGGAAAATATTATAATGCCAAAAAGGGCTAAATTCCTGCCCATGGCAGGTGGTTTGGAACTAGATGACCTTTAAGGTCCTGTCCAACCCAAATTTTTCTATGATTCTATGATTTTCTAGCACATCATGGAATAAAGACTCTAATAAAGAAGTACAGGATACTGTAACAGGAGCAAGCCAAGTAGATCTCCAGCTGCTGTTTGATATGTGGGAAGAAGAAACATATCTGCCTTTTCAGTCTGAAGGGGAAGAAGATTAACTTTAAATATATAATTAAATAATGCAGCCTTTCACCCTCCAAATCCTTCCAGAGCTTTGTCAGAAACAGAAAGGAGGGGAGTGCCTTGCTCATCTCTGGAAGGGGACTCCTTGCTTCATCAAAACAGTCAGTC